TGCTATTCAAGGCAGCTGTGGCGAATGCAGCTGTGAGCTGGCCACGGGCTGGGGCGTGCTAGAACCTATGCGCGCGCGAAACGCACGCTACGAGCATTGGAGCGACACGACGCGAGAAACTAAAACATTTATGCACGCTGTTCAATCATTCCTCCTGCAACTCCGCTCGAATCGTAGCCCAGTGCGTTCCTGGAGGAGGAGAAGGAGCAGGAGAAGGAGGAGGAGGAGGAGGGGGAGGAGAAGGAGTGAGGAGGGGACAAGGCAAACGCGTAAAATCTGGGGAAGCCTCCAAAGACTTTGAATGTTGATGCCGCCGACAACGACGACGACGACGGCCACGTCGACGGTGGCGACAGCGGCCATTGCAGTGACAACGAGGGCGGCGAGAGCGCATTGAACGGCTCGCACAATGTAGGAGACAGCACTATAGATGTGAATTTGTCAAGGCGTTGCGGACAGCAGTGATCAGCATGCGTACATGCACGCAGCAGTGAACTTGCCAAGGTTCGATGCTTACCAGAACCTAAGCGCGCGAAGCGCGCGCGTGGTTCTAATTTTTTGATTTGTTCCTCCAAAATCCCCCTGTAGGAGGAGACGCCCGACCTAATAACAATCTAATAGCACAGGGAGAATAGTTTCATTTCACAGACAGCGAGACGATCAGTGCCACCCAGCTGCATACAGCAACCCCCGACCGCGTGCCAGCTCAGCATCGGAGCGCCTGTGGGACGGTTCTAGTAAGATTCCCAGCAGACCCGGTAGAAGCTCCGAGGGGACCCCGCCGTTCGTTCTTACCTGATCGCGTGCCACTCAAGCTGTCTATCTCGAATCCTCGATTCCCGTCCTCTTCGTATTCTTCACGTTTCGCGCATCCCCAGCAGCCCACTCAGAAGCCCTGCCTATGAGAGCTGACGGGAAATGGAAAGAAGATACACATATAGTGAAACAGAGCGGGCAATGAGAGGAAGGGGAGGAGGGCGTTGAGCCATCTTGGAGGAGCATCGGGACATCTTGGGGACATCGTGGGGACATTTTGGAGGACATCGATCAAATGAGGAGGGGTCCTCGATGTGCCCCCCCCTCAGGAGCCCTCAGAGTCGCCTCTTGAATCCATCTTCGGGCTCTTCTGGGGGGTCTTGGGGCCCTCTTGGGGCCGTCTTGCGGCTCTCTTGGGGCCCTCTTGGAGCCCTCTTGGGGTTCTCGTGGGGCTCTCTCGGGAGCCCTGGAGCGCCTCTGGGGGCCATCTTCGAGGCTATCGATCAAAGGAGGGTGGGCTCGATCTAGGCACCCCCCCTGGGGCCGCCTCTTGATGCGCTCTTGGGCTCCTCTTAGGGCGGTTTTGGGCGCTTTTGGGACCGTCTTGGCTGCCTCTTGGGCCACCCTTGGCGCTCTCTTGGGACATCTTGGTACAATCTTGAGGCCCCAAATGCGCATCGGAAGCGGAACGGTGCGAATACAACAACCATCGCATTTCCTAAGGTTTTTGAAGGCTTCTGGCTTCTCGGGAAGGTCCTGGGGGGGTCTCCGAGGGCACTTAGAATCGTCTTGTGGCCCTCTTGGGGCTTCTTGGAGGCATGGTGGAGGTCATCTTGATCAATCTTGCGCTATCTTGCAGCATCTTGGAGGCCATCTTGGAGCATCGGAGGCCCTCTTGGAGCCATCTTGGGCGCAAAGGGACCCTCTAACGGCCCGCGACCCCCTCCCAAAAACTCCTGGGAGGGGAGGGGGAGGGTACGCCTCCCCGAAGGGAAGGGGGGTTTCTTTGGAAGGGGAAAGCAAGACATCATTAGACCACCTACGCCCAGATGGCTGGTGGGACTACTAAGAGCAAGATGAGACGACCACCATGATTAACGCATATTTCGTCGTCGGAACTTTTTTCCCGTCATCAAGTCAAGCCCCCAAGAGGCAGATCCTTCCTTGCCCCTGCCGCTCTCACAAATCATCCCCACCTGCATTTCAAGGTCGGGGCTCGTGGCAACACCTGATTTTTCCCGCAGCGTGAACTCGGAGGTCTAGACCCTTTTCCCTCCCGCTACCACCACCCCCGCTTCCGTACGTCCAGCAGGACGTGTTGGCAGGACAGCTGCTAAGGCCGCCGAGGGAACAGGGCTCGGGAGGACGAGGAGGAGGAGGGGTGAGGACTAGAGTCCACGGCCCCACTCTCCTGACATTGGGGGGGGGATGGGTTTTGAGTTTTTGAGGTTTTCGGGCGCTCTCGTCGGCTCGCGGCGGTTTCCCAGCCTCGGGGCGCGTTCCAGCAGTCTGGGGGGCAGGCGCCCGTTCGTCCTGGTGGACTCTGTTCGACAACCGCCTAGGCTTGCGGGGATTCTACAATGGAGATCTAGAGATTGAAGGGGGAGGGAGGAGAATGAGGGAGATGGAGGGGAGGGAGGGGAGAGGAGGGAGAGGAGGGAGGAGGAGGGTCCATCAGGTCCAGTAGCGGATGCAACAAGAGGTCGGAGCCCCGCAGCTGTGAGCCCTGATCGCAGAAGGGGTG